GGGGAGGGAAGGAGCAGCGAGAGACGAGAGTCGGTGGAGGGGCAGGACGGGTGCAGGCAGCGAGCAGCAAGCAGGGGGGGCTTGCTCCATTGAAGCGCAGAAGCTGGCTTGTGCGTTGACACTTTGCTCGGTGCTGTGCGTGCAGTGGCGGGATGGGGTTGCGATTGCGTGGCGTGGAAGGGAGTGGCGCACCGGATGGCACGAGGGACGACTCGTGTGAAGGGCAACCGCCCCTCACACACGTGCTGCACCTGCACACACGTGCCTCCCTCCCCACGGTCCCCCTTCATCCCCGACAATATAGGCCCCCACTGAGACCACCTGCCATGCCATCCCTGTACCCAACTCCAACCCCACACTCACGCTCTCACCATCCCTCCCACCCCCAGTCCCAATCCCCCTTCCCCTCCCATTGCCCTCCTCGCATCACCCTAACTCACCCTCCCGCGTCTCGGCCCACCACCCACCCATGTGCACAACCACGCACTCCGCATCCCTTCACCCTCCGTGCATCACCCACTCTACCCTCTCGCCAGCGCGTGCAGAGCAGAGCACCTGTACCAGCTACTTGCACGTGCCGCTCACTCCTCTGCCTGCTCCCTCTGCTGTCCCACCCACTACCCCCTCCCCCAACAGGCAGCACAGCGGAGCACAGCAGGGCGTGGCTTGCCTGCACGAGCTCCTTGCGTTTGTGCACGTCGCCCTTGGGCACGGGCACGTACTCCTCCGCCTCCAGGTCAAACTCGCTTGCAAACGCGTCGCTGCGCCCCACGCGCTTCACCGCGCCGCTGTTGGCCTCTATGTAGATCACATCGCCCACCGCCACCTGCGCGCATGGAAAAAGGCGGGAGGAAAAGAGCGAGGGGGAGGAGAAGAGCGAGGGGGAGGAGAAGAGCGAGGGGGAGGAGAAGAGCGTGGGGGAGGAGAAGAGCGAGGGGGAGGAGAAGAGCGTGGGGGAAGGGAGCGGGGGAGGAAGGGCGTGGGGGAGGATGAAGTAGAGGAGGGATGAGTGTGGGGGAGAGCGGAAGCTGGGATGGCGGATGCTGCCCAAGTACTGGCGCTTCACCGCTGCTGGCCTCCATGTAGATCACGCCCCCCACCACCACCTGCTCGCCCGGGGGGGGGACGTGGCGGAAATGGGGATAGGGTAAGGGGGGGGAGAAGGAAGAAAAAGGGGGCAGGAGAGAAGGAGGTGGGGGCGGGATAAAGCGGGGGTGGGACAGGACGGGATCATGTGGGGCACTTCTGGACTTGGGAGGGATGGCGCCAATGGGGATAAGGACAGGGGAGCGAGGAAAATCAGCGCATCACGTGCGGATAGTATGAGGTGGGATGGGGGTTGACACGGTACACTGTGGGAAGAGTGGAAAGCGGGATATGGCTGCTGTCGTACGCAAGTTCACATGACTGGTGCATTGCACACGCACGTACTAGCTTGTGGCCGAGGGAAATGAGGACGACAAGGAAGAGAGCAGCACAACGAAGCGAGCGGGTGGGAGAGAGTGAGAGGGCATGAGGGCGAGGGGAGGAGGAGCGGCGTCCTTTCCCGACCTTTTCCTTGAGCAGCGCGTCGTAGATGGAGGGGTCGAGCTTGAGGTGCTTGGTGCCCTTGACGGTCTTGAGCGCCACCACCACGTGGCTGATGGCCTTGCCGTACCCCCCGCTCATGCTCTCCGTCTCCTCCGCCGCCAGCTCCACCACCTGCGCCACGTTCACCCAGAGTGGTGCGCAGGGAGCAGTGTGGAGGGGCAAGAGGAAGCAGGGGGAAGCGAGGGGATGAGGCACATGGAAGAGGGGATAGTGGAAACGAGGAGGCATTCAGATGTGGTGAGCAGCACGGGAAGGGGAGGACACGGGGAGAGGCGGAGGCGGGTTGGTTTGGGGAGGGGAGGGTGGGGGGAGAACGACGAGAGGGGGGCCATGGGAACAAGAGACGATCAGGAAGTGTGGGGCGGGGGGGGGGGAGGTAGAGGAGAAGGAAAAAGGCAATGGCGTGGGTGTGTCCCAATGCGCAAACACATGCACGTGCAAGTACGTGTGCAACCCTCCTTCACCTCACCTCACCTCACCTCACCTCACCTGACGTGACGTGGGCTCACCTCGCCCTCGTAGACCTCCTTCTTCTCGCGGATGCGCAGCCCAATGGCGCGGCGCAGGTGCTCCATGAGCACGGCCGTCTTCTTGACCTCGCTGCTGAACACCTCCGACCCCACCATCGGACAGAACGGCACCTGCGCAAGCCCCCTCGCATGCACGCACAAGCCATTTCAAGGAACCGTTGGGGGGGAAAGCAGGTTGAGGTGAGGATTTGTGAGAGAGGGAGGGCGTGAGGGAAGGGGCGAGGAGAGAAAGTGGTGGAGTGAGAGAGGGGAGAAGCGGAGGAGGACAGGCGCAGAGGAGGCAGGCGTAAGGATGGGAGGCGGAAGGGGCGAAACGGGCAGGGGTCGGGAAGAGGAGGCAGAACGCCGGAGGTAGATAGTAACGGGCGATGGCGTGCAGGCAGAGCAATGCCCTGCCGTGCACTCACAATCCGTGGGACGGCACGATACAAGGCGTGACGTGCGACAGGGGGTGCTTGGTGGAGAGGAGCGTAGGGTGGGGGAGTCAGAGAGGTCGATTTGGGAAGGGGCGCGGGGGGGAAAGGAAAAAAAATAGAGGAGTTGAGGGAGGAATTCAAGGGGTTAACAGAGGAGGGCAGTGGGCAGGGGAAGCAGGCGAATCGACAGGATGCGGAGCGAGGGGAGAGATGAGGTGATGTAGGTGGAAGGCGGTTGGCTGACGGAAGCAATGGTTTGGACTGGACAGGAGCAGGGATGGAGGGGGTATAGAGATACAAGGGTACGGTGCAGTGTGAGCGCGCTGCCTTGCACATGTGACATGACTCCCGGAACCTCCTCACCACACTCACCTGACCTTCACACCATTCCCTTGGCACCAACTTCTTTCAACAACCCCCCTATGCGCTATGAACCCAGGCACTGAAACCCCTAGACCCTGATCCTGGCTGCAACCCTAAAGCCCGCCTTCAACCCCACCTTAGAGCCCAGCTCCTGTGCGATGCCCAGCGCCAGCGCCGTCTTGCCCGTGCCCGGCGCGCCCGCGAGCAGCAGCGCGCGCCCCGCCATGCGCTTGGAGCGGATCAGATCCACCACCAGCCCCGCCGCCTCGCGCGCGCGCTCCTGCCCCACAAACCCCCCGCCCACCGCCACCGCGCTCCCATCCTCCTGCGGGGAGGACGAGCAGAGGCGGAAGGGAGGGGAGGGGGAAGGGAGGGAGGGTTCAGAGACGTTTCAACCGCCGCTTTCCTACCCCGTAAAACCCAGACGCTGGGGGGAAGAGTGAAGACGGCAGATAGGTCTGAGCACAGCGGGAAAGAGGGGAAATGGGCGGGGTCACGAGTGGGGTGCTGGGTCGCGGATAAAGAGAGAGCAGTGATGCGCAAGCGAGAGCAGCACGGATACAAGCGCGAATGCCATGCATCCGAGGGGGGAAGGCGAGTCGCATGCGCCAAAGCATGATGACGATCGTTTCTCGTGGTTCGATCGCAACGCTCCACGGAAAAGCAGGAGCGCGCTTGTATAAGCCATGCTGGTACAGGCCGCCGTGACATCCGCCCTACAGCCATGCCCCGCGACATTCGCAATCCCCAAATAATCTTCGCCACGCGGCGGCGCCGGACAACCCGTCCCCACCGCAGATCGCGGGCTGTATCGGCGGCTTCGACACGCGCGCTGCGGAGGGAAAACAAGAGTGGAACGCCTGCTGGCGGTTCGAGCCTCCGGCTAGACTAAGAAGCGGTGAAGGCGCGGCGCTGTGGTTGGTGGCACCTTGAGGCCGAGCCCCTTGATGTGCGTGTGCGACGCCACGCGCTGCTTCTTGCTCGTCGACTGCACGTCCTCGATCTTCATGCTTCGCGCTGCGCCGATCCCCACACTCGCTCGCTCAAGCGGCCTTGGGACGACGAGGATGGCGAGAGGTGAGCTGAAATCAAGGTGTGTTTCAGAAGCTGACTCGCACGCGATCAGTTCGAGGGATAGATCGAATGGCTGGAGGCCCAACTATGGGTTCGGGGCCCCCGAATCGGGGAAATTAAGCAGTTGTATCCGCGGTTCTGACCACTCTGATTTCGTCTGTAAGTAACGACGGGAACAATCATTTACCAAGAGGTTGTAATATTCTCACTTGGTTTGCAAAATAGAGGGGTTCCGTTTAGCGGAAAAACGTCATCTTAAGGTTCAGCATTGCTGAGATGCGTATAGCAAGTTATCAAAGTTCTACGTTACAGGCGATATTATCTCATCGATAACTGGACTTCTTTTGAAAAGGAAAATTACAACGGGAAACTCCCTTTGGGTGAGAAGCAGTTCTTTCTTGCATAACATGTGAAAGCCAAGTCTCAGGAACCGTGATCTTCCACTACAGATGATACAACTCTGATGATCATTTCAAGAACAAGCATTGCCAGGGAAAACAGACATGCGAGCAGCATAGGAAACTACAATTATCACCAGAAACAGAGCCCCAGAGCTCTAGACATAAGTACTACGTGGTCATTCCTTCTGAATGTTCCCCCAGTCCCTACAAACAAAGCTACCAGGTATTCACAGCGCCAGACACCTTATCTCTAGACCGAGGGAGACCAATACCCACATAAGTTAAACACACCACTAAGCGCGCCACCAGTTACTACCTTACCTCTCCATACCACTTCCGGCCACCCTTCGAGCCACGCAGACTCCGTCCCAGAAGTCCGACTGCAATCAGTCCGCGCCGCGCCCGCGTGACCTACCCTTTTCGCACCTTCCATCTGCCTCCTTCCAACCTGCCTCCCTCCAATTAACCCATCCGCCGCGCCTTCCTGAAGCCCATCCGAAAAAATCTCCTACGAACGGCCAAGACCTAGCCAGCTCTACCAAGGACCGTCCAATCTTCTCTTCTTACACTCGTCGCGTCGAAACGTTAACCCTAACGCTCGCGGTACAGCCGCCGAGCCACTACGTTTACGTAGGGGAAGGCAGGATGCCGGCCTGCACGGTGCCGTCGCCTTGGAGCGCGCACTCGCGCTTGCGGACGTTGAAGTTCATCTGCACGAGGAACTTGGTGCCGTTGAAGCCCCTCACGTTCCACACCTTGCCGCCCTCCTCGTAGTTAGTCGGGCCGTACCTCCACTCGCACAGGTCAGCGTTCTCGATCTGGGACTTCGCGACGACCCACCCGGGTTTGTCGTTGCGGCCGTGAAAGGGGTTCGTCGCGAGCTCCGACAGCTCGTGCCCGATCTTATCCACAACCGAGTCCGCGCCCAGGTCGCCGTTCACGCCGCTAAACGTCGGATCGAAGTACTGGTACGTACAGTACTGCGGGCACTGCTTAGATGGGTTGCCCACAAACGCGTACGCGAGCTGGGTGCCGTTGAAGGTGGCGCTGGTGTGGTAGGCGCAGAGGCCCTTGCAGAAGTCAGTGACGTACACGTCCGGGCTGGTGAGCACGAGGTACGCGGCGTTCGTGTCCATGGGGAAGTAATTCTTCTGCGACGTGTCGAACGCGCTCGCCAGGAGCGCGCGCACGTTGTCGTGCGTGAGCGGGTTCAGCACGGTGCCGAGCGGCGCGAGCTTGTACTTGGCGTTAATCTCCTTCGACAGCTTCACGTACGGCGTCGCGCGCTGGTTCTTGCCGTTCGTGTAGTACCGCACGTTAATGGCCCACCACCCAACCACGGTCGGGAACTTCTGGTAGTTATTCTTGGAGCGGTCCAGGGACACGAGGAAGCGGCGGATGATGCGCTTCTGCTTCTTGCTCCAGCGGCCGTACCATAGAACGTACACCTTAAGATCGTTAGGCTCGGTCATCATCTTGCCGCCGTGATACTTGAGGTACTGCCCCATATTCGACGTGTACACGTCGGCCTGACCAGCCGAGGCCTGCTGATCCGCGGGAAGTGCGGCGGCGCTCTGGATGGCGGCGGCGGCTGTTTCGTTGACATCGCGGATGGACTCGGCGGCCTGCGCGAGGTGGAGGCCCTTGTTGACGGCCGTGGCCATGTAGTGCAGGTACCCGCGCCCCTCGTTCTCCACGTCGTTGGCCATCCCCGCGTTCTTGTCGCTCGTGTCCACCGTGCTCATGCTCCACGTGCCGCTCGGCAACTGGATAATTTCCGGGTCCGCCGCGCTAGCGCAGGATGCGGCTGCGACAACAAGCACGGCGACGGCGACGAGGGCCGCGTTCGTCGACCACAGCGGGCGTCCTTGACCCCGCGTCATCGCGATGCGCTCGAAGAGACTAGTTCGCTGTTAATACGCAAGGCTGAACGGTTTGTAATGGTTGCTATTGCACTTAGCTGCTAAGTCTATGGGACGAAGAGTGAAGAGAAAAGAGGAGTCTAGATCAATCTGTGCTGGTGCCAAGGGACCCTAGATGTTGCAAGACAGGGCAGGACTAGTTGTGAGAAAGGGCTCCTAAAGGAGAGGGAAAGGGTGACTGCGAGATCGCAGCCGCGAATGGTCGGAGGTAATGGAATGATGGTCGGAAAGCGGGTTTCGGCGGCAACTGGACAGCAGGGGCGGAACTGGGGGGACGTTGCATGCCCCGCTTGGCGGTAGTGGGACGGGACGGGAGCATGAGCAGTCAGCGCATAGGCACAGGGCAGGGGAACCCCTCCACGATGGCAGCCAAGCCAAGCAGACCTGCTTGGGTTGAAGGACAACGCGCAGTCGGCTGGACTGGAGGTGGCGGGCAAAAACTATCGATTCGTTTTAGTCCCCCTCCGTTCCTGCTTGTTGCTTGCCTTGCGAAGGTCGTGCGATCTTCACCGCGACACGAGACGAAATGGCGAAGACGGTCGCACAATCGAGCAAAAAGGGCGAGGCGCACCCATCACGAAAACCAAGAGATGGGGACCTTCGATTCCGCTGGGGGCCTTGTCAGAACGGAGCCGCCCAGCTGTGCCCCAAAACTGTGCGATTCGGCTCTCAAATCGAAACGCGCGAAAGTTTGTTTATTGAAGTGACCTGGATGACTGCGACACGAAACGAAAATGGCATTCAGTTTTCGCATCATTCAGTATGGGTTTGGGACAGTGTCATCCTCCGAAACAGCCATCATTCCCGTGTCAGGTGACCCAGCATCTACAGTAGTGCGTCGTGTGCACGAGCTCCACTTGTCGTGCAACTGCTCGGAATGATAAAACTCGAATAAAAATCAGGAGTCCTTACGGATACACTCTTCTATGAAATTATTTATTTTTCCTTACTTCGCACCTAGCTCTAACATTACAACAGTGTACCGAGCCTTTACAGTTTTCCAACCGTTACCAGCCGCTGGTGCAATGAAGATGACGCTGCATGTTGGAAGAACAGAAATGTTATTACCGGTATAACATTTCCGAAGGTTCTCTCCTAGTGCGCCACTTCACTGCGAAGCAGCGCCACTGTATCAGAATCAACGTATCGTGATATGCTCGTATAGAGCACGCGGCAGCTCGAGAGTCACCCGAAGGTCGACAGTCACTGGTAGTCAACGGCGCGACTGTTGTGTCAGAATCCCAACCACTAACCATTGGGATAAAAGGGCTTGTTTGTGTAGCGGGTGAGTGCGCCCATAACCCCCCAGGCCAACATGCCTGTAACCCTTCCCTAGGATCATTGAAGATCTCCAGTGGACCTCTGACACCCCCCCGCACTGGGATGCCCGAAGTGCACACACCGGGAATCGAACCCGAGACCTTCGCTCTGATACTACGTCAGAATCCCAACCACTAACCATTGGGATAAAATGGCTTGTTTGTGTAGCGGGTGAGTGTGCCCATAACCCCCCAGGCCAACATGCCTGTAACCCTTCCCTAGGATCATCGGGGATCTCCAGTGGACCTCTGACATGTTGACCACCCGCCAACCGTATCAGAGGTTACGCGATGCTCCATGGTAACTGTCGAGAAAGACAATAGTCGCAGTTACTATAGCTATGTAATGTTACGATCAGAAATTAATCGTCCCTAGGATCACCTCGGGAAGGTTCGCTCGTGTCTGAGTAGTGGTGGTGGGCCCTTGACCTCAATAGCAGAGTGAATGTAAAATGCTTGAGATGATTAAAACATGCAAATACCACAACAAATATGGATAGTAGTACATGGGAATTTGAAACGACCTAGCTAGCCATGTACTCTAAGGGATACATTCCCTTAGTACAGTGAAACTCAACTGTGCGACTCCAGACAGTTACGAAACTGTCTGGGCAGAATCCTCGCAACTGCTGCTGCCTGATGGTACCGGCCCGACGGTCCAGAACATGTCGTAACCGTACGACCCTTCGCGTCACTTCCGCCCTTTCGCATTCAGCCTCGGCACTGTGTGGTTCGATTGCTGCGGTTAGGAGTGCACAGTAATGTTTCATTCATTACTATTCGTAACACCCCCCTTCACTCCTGGCCGTAGCTCGATTTGACCTGTTTGACCACTCCGCTGAGTTCGGAGCAGTGCTGGTACTGCTGGCGTGGCAGTCGCTTCGTCAGGAAGTCAGCTGCCATGTCTCCCGTCGGGTAGTAAGTCAAGTCGACCTTGCCCTTGTCTACTTCGTCCTTGACGAAGAAATACCGCAGCGCAATGTGTTTAATGCGGTTGACGAAACCGGGTTTGTTCACGATGCGGATCGCGCTTTGGTTGTCGCAGTGCAGGCGAAAGGTAGGTGAAACTGGAATTTTCGCCTCCTGCAGGAGTTCCTGCAAGTAGAGGCCTTCGCGAACTGATGCTGTTGCTACGATGAATTTTTCTTCGGCCGATGACAGGGCAACCAGCTCCTGTTTCTGCGAGTTCCATGAGATTGGTCCCGTCGGTTCTAGGCGGAACAGGAAGCTAGTTATGGACCATCGATTGTCGGGGTTTGCTGCGTGATCAGCGTTCACGTAGCCGATAAGGTTGAAGGATGGGGTCGGCACTGTTGAGTAGCAGAGCCCAATCTTGGGCGTTGAAACAAAGAACTGTAGGGCGCGTTGCAGATTTAGAAGGTTCTCGGCCGTTGGTTTGCAAATGTACTAAGCCAGTTGGCTCGCGATGTAGGAAAGGTCGGGCCTGCAGGTGACAAAGGCGAAGAGCAGGCATCCCAGGTGCTGCTGGTAAGTCTGGATACCAGCGGGGGACAGGGCTTTGTTGTCAGGTTTGTGGTTCAGTCTGGAAGTTCGGTAGAGAGTGGAGAGTGGTGCAGGCGAAATGTTGAAGCATTTCCCAAGCTCTTCTGCGTACTTGGCCGCTGAAAGGTGGATAGCTTCTGGCGCGTAGGAGATATCAATTCCTAAGTACTGCTTCACTTCGTAGTTGCAGGTAATGTCGACGCGCCCCGTTAGACTCCTCTCGAACTGCTCGAGCAGTTCGTTGCTTGACCCCGTGTAAAGAAGGTCGTTGACGTAGACCGTGAGCAGGATGTATTCGTCGCGGAAATCACGGCGGTACATCCCTGGGTCGTGAGGCAGCTGCTTGAACCGAATTTCAAGCAGGATGTTGTGTAGGTAATGATGCCAGAGCCTTGGCACCTGTTTGATTCCGTAAAGAGATGTTCGCAGCTGTCGCCGTACATGTGCGGCTGCTCCACGTAGATCACGGCGTCTACTAACGCATATAGGAACGCATTCTTCACATCGAGTTGGCGCAGGGGTAGGTGTCTTGCGGCTGCGATGGCAAGAAAGATCCTGACGGAGGTGTGACGGCTGACTGGCGCAAACGTTTGGTCGAAGTCAATCTCGTGCCTCTAGTCATAGCCGCGCACCACCCAGCGTGCCTTGAATCGCTCAATTGTGCCGTCAGCTGCGGTATTCACGCGGAAGACCCATTTGCCAGATAGAATCCTTGCCCCCTTGATTGCTGCGCGGTCGAAGAGCACCCAGGTGTCTCGGGACTCAAGTGCTTTAATCTCCCCATCCATTGCCTCGTGCCACTCCTTGCTGTGTGGTCCTGTGAGAGCTTGGCGCGGATTTCTCGGCTCGATGACACGTGGCGCCGTTGAGGTTGCGGTATGAAGCCCGAGGACCTGTAGTCCGAAGACGGTGCTGTCGTGGCGATGCTGTGGAATAACTTCCTGCACGTCGTCGTCGTCACTCTCTGGATTTGGTGGTGCTGGTGGTGTTGCGCCTCTGCCGCTTCCTCCTGCTCCGCCCATTCCTCCTCCAGAGAAATCGTCGTCGTCGTCATCACTGCTGTAGCGATCTCCTCTCGTGAAATCGCCCCTGGTGTCCTGCTGTAGGATTGCTGCAGCAGCTTCGTCCTCGGGTGTTGCGTAGCTATGCCCGTCATTCGCGTAAACGCGATTCGTGTTTGTCTGCTCGTTGTGGAAGAATTGCTCGAGGAAGAGGCGTTCGTAGAAGATGACGTTACGTGCGTGGGTGGTCTTTTGGCTGAGCAGGTCTAGGATGATCCACGCCTTGTGCTCGTGGCTGATGCCGAGGTGGATCCCCCGCCGCGCGCAGCTGGCGAACTTGCCGATAGTTGACGTTGGTGGGCAGTATTGCACCATGCAACCCCACACGCGGAGCATGGATGTGTCCCCTTGGTCCCGGTCCACTTCACATGCGGCGACGAGTTATCGGTGAGGGCCGTGGTTGGCAGCAAGTTGTGCACCCGCACATCGTGGTGCATTGCGTAAGTCTAATAGATCGGCGGCAGCTTCGATTGCTTCATCAGCGCCCGCACCTTCGTCATGAGCGTGCGGTTTTTTCGCTCGGCTACGCCCTGCTGCTGGTGCGCGTAGGGGAGGGAGATGTGATGCTCGATCCCCTTTTGCGCCAGGAAATCCTGCAGCTCCTTGCTCTTGAACTCCGCTGTGCCGTCTGACTGCCAGATCCTCAGTTTCTCCCCAGATTGCCGTTGCGCGTGCCCCAGACAGAGGCGGAACACTTCGTACGCTCTGCTGCGCGCTTCTACGTTCACGACCCACACGTAGCGCGTCCCAGCGTCGATCAAAGTGAGCGTGTACAGCTCGTCATTGACTCCGCAATGCCCCACGTTCAGGAAATCGCTGTACACCTTGCTTGTACAGCTTGCGGTAGTGGTTGGTTCCCGGTTCGAGCAGCGGGAACGGCTGGTGACTTAGTGCAGCTTCAGGGCAGACGGTGCAGTTGCGCGGATGTGTCGCACCTCTTACTTCGGTGCTGTCTGGGCTCAGGAGTGCGCCAGGAGCGAAGACACCTGCGTCGATGCAGTTTTCCAGCGTCACGCGCGAAGGATGTCCGAGGCGCTGGTGCCAGAGTGCATCGTGTCAAATTATATATATATTGTTA